TAATAATAGATGATACTGTAAGAATGATGATCTAAGAGGGGGACTCTAAGAGGAACATTCAACACTTCATATGTAGAACTATTCTTGTTGATAAGATGATGTTGTTAGTATTGGGATTATTACTATGATGATGATGATGATGATGTTAATAATGTATGATCGTATGTCATCACGATGTATGTTCACAGCAGGGGGGAGTAGTAGTAGAATGATGATGAGCTGCTGCTGCTGCTGCTACTGCTGCTGGCATGTATGCTGCGATGATGGTTCCAATCATCATTATTCCTGCTGCTGCTGCTGCTGCTGCTCGTCCCATCTGCTGCATTCCACACCATCGACCACCATCACCATCAATGATGATGATAATTATGCCATTATTATTGCCCTTGTTCTTCTCCTTCTTCTTCTTGTTGTTGTTGGTGTACATATTATTTGAATGTATAATATCCTTGAGCAAGACTGGTAGACATATTAGTAGAATAGCCCCGAGCCCCAACACCCAATGGTGGTGGTAATGTTGATGATGATAACATTGATGGTAATGGTGGTACCATCCGGGATAATGATGATACTTGAATATCATCATCTTCATTATCATTCAATTCAACACATACTCTGATAACACCTTGAGAGGAAGCTACCACTATTAATGATGGACCTGATAACAACGACAACATGCAATAACATATAAATAGTAGTAGTAGTAGCAGTTAATATTATTATAATTACCAGAATCTTTGGATAAAGTTAAGCCCAGTTGAGATACTACTGAATCAAATAATGGATGACCATTCATACTGTATCCAATAGGCACTAAGGATACAAGGAAGAGTAAGCTGATAATAATAATAATAATTTCGATCATGATAATGATGATGATGATGATGATGATGATGCTGATATATAAGTATTACTTATAAAAGAGGCAGTGAGTGGTGGATATGTAGTAGTAGTAGGGTTCCCTGGAGTAGGAATACTACTATTACTACTGTTGCCTGTAGTGGTCTTCTTCTTCTTATTATCATTTGTGTTCTTCTTGTTATATTCTATCCCTCTAGAAGGCTCATCATCATGCACATCAATTGATGATGATAAGGAAAGGTTAGGCCCAGAGATACCAACATGTGATGACGGGAAGACTCTTGATTCATAATCATCATAATCATAATCATAATCATCACCATCGTCCTTACTATTACCATCACCACCACCACCATTATGATGATGACGACGACGCATTAGGGAGAGTTCATCATTTGATAGTTTAGTAGTAGTAGTAATAGTAGAAGTAGTGTTATTGGCGAATGAATATTGGGATGATGACCACTGGCCTACATTAATATTACTCTGGGATGATGCTTTCGTTATTGATAATGATGATAGTATTACCTCTTAATCTGAGTAATATATCACATACTACTTCTGGTTTATCATTAGTAGATTCATCATTATAATCCAAATCCCATATACATATATATCCTCTCTCACTTGCTGCTAATACTCTACTTTCATAACATGAATATCGCGCTTGTAACATTAAATTGTCATTAGCATATATTGATGTTTCCTTCATTTTAGTCCTTCTTGATAAATCACGTAAATGTATTACTCTTATCCTACAATCAGATGTAGTAACCAATAACCTGTTAAATAATAATAATAACCAGATCATGAATCCAACATCATCATGAACGTCAACATGATGATCATCATAATCATAATACTAGTATCAATATTATTACCTTTGAGAATCCTTCTGCCATTGCATTCCAATTATCTTCCTACCATCTTTAAGTTTACCATATCTATTTCTACAATCAATAACACCATCCAATCGTAGTGTCTTGAGTAAGAACATAGTAACTGTACCAACAGAGGATCCAACAGCTAGCCTCAGACCTGCCATAATAATAATCATCATCTACTACTACTAGTTCGAGGCGCTGGAGTAGTAGTAGTAGTATAGCAAATATTATTATTATTATTATTATTATTATTACCATCAGGAGATAAAGCAACAGCAGTCGCCATCCCTTCTATCCTAACTGTATGTATTTTCTTAGGAGGATTACCACTTGATCTTTTATTAGGATCAACAACAACAACATCATCATAATCATCATCATCATCCTCATAATCATCATCATTATCATTGTGATTATTATTGGTCACTGTCGATTGTATATCCCCCATCGTGAGTTCGTAACTGTACACATAATGATGTTGGTAAAAATGAATGTGAATCGGCGGCGACGGCGACAAGGTAGTAAGGTAGTAATTGATATATATATATAACAATAATTAGAATGTATATATCATATAATAAGACGACTAAACAAAGTAAACGCCAGTGGAGGCATACGACTGGCATACGAATACCTAAGCTGGGGGCGGCGGGCTATTCGTCGTCGGAGTTATATCATCATCATCCCGATTCATGATGATGATGATGATGACGATAGGGAGGAGTACAACGACGAAGACGAAGACGACGACGACGACAGATACTCCATAGAGCGAATATGGACATGTCCGATAAACATGATGATGATGTAGAGGATTGTAAGAAGAAGAAGAAGAGTAATGATAATAATAATGAGTATTACATTTCAACAGCACCATCTGCACAAGCTATAAATAATAATGGTGTCCTTAGACCATTATCACTTGTTGGTAATACAGTACCTAAGAAGAATGCTACAAATGAGTCCATAATGTTGTTGATGATGTTGTTGATTACTACTTGCATATGTAGTATATTGATACCTGTACCCTCA